TCTGTGAATGATGCAGCTGGGCGGGAGTGACTGGGAGAAGAACGTCTTAGGAGATGGATGTAAACTCTCTGAACCTGATTGCTGATCAGCAAGGCCCAGGCACAGAAACTGGGATGCAGACTGGCCAGAGAGGGAGGGCTTCTGTATCCATGGGATTTTAACATTTATCTAGGGTGTCCTCTGTGGTTAATGGTGCCTCCTGGGGCAGCCTGGAGCCCCGGGTGGAACTAGGACCTGGCTTTGTGTCCCAGCTCTGCTGTTGACCTCCTAGCTGTCCTTGAGCCTTGGTCCTTTCTGAGACACCATTTTTTTCCCCATCTTTGGCATAGCAGGTGTTAATATGTCTCACAAACAAACCTACTTTGGAAACGGTGGAGTCTTCGCACAGCTGTCAGGGGTCATCATGGCCTCAGTCCACGAAGGATTTGGGGTGACTCATGAAAATACAGACAGTATGAAAGGATACACTTAGCAGCTGGGCCAGAGGGAAATTATTGGTAAAAGTACAGAAGCAGGACTGATGCTTAGCACCCGGAATTCACCCGCTGTGTCTTCCTGAACATCTGTAGAGGTAGGGAAGCCACTTGATTGCCTCTGATTCTTTCTGGCTGGCTGAGCAAAGAGACAGGATCAGGTACTAGGTTCACGGTATGCCTCTACAGTAAGTCCAAGTGCCTTCCTTGGGCCAGGCACCATGCTGGGTGTTGGGGTCACAGAATTGACTTAAGGTATTAGGAAAAAAGTGACTCTGGAAAAGCATGATTTTTTTTTCCCCTGCACTGAGGCTGACTCTGGCAGGGCCACCATGTGCGTCAGTAACCACTTGTCTGTCTTGTTTACAGGTCTCCTGGACGCACTGGGCAATGAACCTGAGACTCCAGCCCAGAGTGGTCTGAATCAGTTGGGGAAGGCAGAGGGCGTCCTGGGGAAGATGGCCATGGCCCCAAGCCCATCCCTGGCTCAGGTGTACACCAGCCCTGTGGCAGTGGCCGTGTGGGAATGGCAGGATGGGCTGGGCACCTGGCATCCCTACAGTGCCACCGTCTGCAGCTACATCGAGCAGCAGTTTATCCAGCAGAAAGGCCAGCGCTTTGGGCTGGGGAGTCTGGCCCACAGCATCCCCTTAGGTCAAGCTGACCCCTCGCTGGCTCCTTACATCATCGACCTCCCCAGTTGGACACAGTTCCGTCAGGACACTGGTAATAAGACACTTACTGCCTCTAGTATATGTCCAAGTGCCAGCCAGGTGCTGTGCTACGTGTTGGGGTCACAGAATTGACTCTCAGCTTCGTCCTTCCCCTGAAACACACGTGGTCAGGAAGAAGGTGCTGTGAGTGATAGCAGGTACCACACAGTGTGAGAGCTACCTCTTAGTGGTAGAGGTTGCCTTGGGAACACAGTGCAGAGGCACTTTCCCACAGTCCCAGCCCTTTTCCCAAATCAGAAATGCCTGCAGATTCACACCCTG